AATCATCATAGAAAATTATATGAAATGGTTGACACGAACTCGTAAACAAATTTCTGTACGAAAAATAAAGAAAATTCTGAAAAAACATTTACATAGCAGCATTAGTTCCAGTACTTTACCGATTTTCTTCCGCAATTTTGTAAAAGAATCGAAGTGTGCACAGTTTATTTCATTTTAGAAAATCGACAAAAAATCGGCTGAAAAAATAGTTTGCAGGGAACATATTCCAACAATACATGAAAGAAATGAAGTCGCCGATTTGACGATTTTTGCCTATTTTTCATGTTTAGCATGATGGGATCTGTTAGCTTCAGTTTGTCTGTTTTCAGTTAGATTTGAAGGCTTTCTCAAAGGCCACATCACTGGCACAATCTAATATGACTCATTGTACTTAGCAGTACTTAGAGTTATATAATCGAGTACTTAGTTGGTCAAGTGTACCACTCACTTTTGATAGGGTTAAGACTAAAAAAGCGCATAGAAGTAGAGAACAAAAGTAGTCACAAATTAGAGAAAGATGCCTATGACATTTGGAAGCATCATTGAGAAAGATACTCCAATACTTTGTTTGTCAAAAACCCTGACCATGATGACCAACTAGATCATCTCAAAGCAGTCTGTCTAGATTTTCACTAAGCTCCAAGAGTTTAAGTGAATCCGGACCCTGATTCTAAGTGAGTCTCTTTACAGACTGTCGCCTTACTTGTTCTATGACACTCGAAAGTCTAAGTAGTAGTGAACATCACTTTAAAAATAATGGATTTCCCCACTGGCACATCATTTTATACGCGTATGTTTTTTATGCTAAGTGCATTGGTATAAGTACACATTTTATGTTACATACCATGCATGGCTTTTCAGACATGACCTGCAACACTCACATCAGTATGCATTTATGTATATTTATTTCTTTTCAGATTAGCAACATTGCCATCTATTCAGCAAAGATCAAAGTACTCGTAATTGTGAGGCTCGTTAACATTATAAAGTTAAACCACGTTTATGTGCATACCTTTACAAACAATTTGCCTACATATTTGTGTATATACATATGTACATACATATGTACTTAAAAATATGTGGACGAAGTACTAAGTATGCCTAGATCTTTGCACTTTAATAATACAAAATTTTCCATTTTACCATGCCAGTCGTATGTTTATATTACATCGATTATTTAAATACACATACATATGTACACTGAAAATACGCCTCCCATTGGTGTGGGTTGAGTATAATGGAGAAATATGGCCATTCAGTTTGGCACCAGAATATTGTACGTAATACTCTACTACTATTATTAGGTTTTCTTTTCATTCATAGCAAACTGGAAAATAGGCAAACTAATTTTTTTTTTTTACGAAATTTGGTCAGTGCAGATTGTACTCACAGTAAACAAAGAGTCCATTGTCCGATCGATGTGTGCGGTTTTGTGGCAGCAGATAAAGCAGCTTTCGCACAGCGCAGAAAATTTGAAAAGGAGTTAAATCACCATTTCTTTATCCGCTTATGCGTTTTGGCTTGAGTAATTTCTTCGAAAAGTTCATTCTTAAACACACACACTCCGCATGTACATTTTGGTCACTTTAACGCATAAATCCGACAAAATTAAATGCTTAGATATCAGAGCGGGAAGAATGTCATATTAAAAATGAAAGTTCGCAGATCTTTAATATATTTATATCCATGTTCCGCCATTGCTGAAAATTCAGCCTGGTAGACGGTACAAAAACGAGAAGTACTCAGAGCTAATATCTTGCAAACTCAAAACATACAATACAATTGTCATGTGAGTAAAATTCAGTTTAATCAGTAGCCTCTAATGTAACCTACCTCTAAAGTAACCTACCCGTACATATCCAAAATCAGTTTTTCGTTGTTGAGTTCAAAAACAGTATAAGTCATGCACGGCTTTTCTCCACACATAGCGGGAGCACTCAGCTGTGCTACGTTAACGCCGAAGTATCTAGTAAGTTGAAATGAGAGCAAACCAATGCAATTCCGTGAATTGTACTATTTTTGAGCTCAACAACGAAAAACTGATTTTGTACTTGTACGGGTGTCGAACTCATCGATTCAATTGATGTACACAGGAAATTTTATAGAGGTATGTAAGTTCAAAATCACAGCTTTTTTTTATATAGCGAAATACGAAATGGTATGACTGAAGAGCATTTATGATATTTAAAAAAAAAAAAAATCTACTTCGAAAAGAGAATGCGCAAGTTTTCTAAAAATTAATATTTAATATTTGCTTATTGGTAACTAGTTGCTTAACAAAAAAATATTCATTAATCGCCCTGAATGAAGAAAATTAATGGATATCTAAAAGTTAAATTTATCATGAAATGGAAGAAAAAATAATGTAAGAGATTAGGCTTATAAAATTATACATAGATGATCAAGAAATCAGACGTGGAATTGGGAAAAATCATATTTTTCTCTCGATTGATGTAACGACTGACAAAGCTGGCCATCATGTCGT